AGCACCATCACCATCACCGTCATCATCATCATCACCATCATTAACAACAACATCAACATCAACATCGCAGACATCATCACCACCACGATCGTCATCATCAGCATCACCGGCGACATCAACATCACAACCATCACCAGCATCAAGATCACCATACTCACCATGTTCGTCATCATCAACATCAACATCAACACCACCAAGATCCCCCTCCCCTCCTCCTCCTCCTCCTCATCATACAATCGGCATCGTCATACCCGCTAGCGTTACCACCACCATCATCATCATCCCCACCACCATCAATAGCAACATCAGTATCATCAACATCGCCATCAACATCGTCATCACCATCATAATCACCATCACCACCACTATCGTCACCATCACCGTCCTCTTCCTCGTCGTTATCCTCGTCCTCTTTCTCCTCTTCCTCGCCCTCACCATCAGCGTCATCATCATCATCGTCATCCTCATCATTACCATCATCATCACAATCATCACCATCATCATCAACACGATCAGCCGCACCAACCTCACCATCAACATCAACATCAATATCCGCCGCGCCCATGCTGGCTCACACCTTAAAAGTTTCGCGGCCCCGTAGGGAACTCCAGCGAGGGCTCCGATGGGAGGGTCCGCATGCCACCGCCTCGCCCATCTCGGCAGACCCCTCACACGTTTTGTAGCCCCGCAAGGAGCTCCACCGAAGACCCGAGTGGGAGGCCCGCGTATGACCCCCGTGCGTATCTCGACACACCCCTTACACGTTTCGTGGCCCCGTAGGGGGCTCCACCGAAGAGCCTGCCGCCGAAAATGTGACCAATAACATTATGATTAAAGAAACCTGGGCCAACTTTCGGAAGTTTCTTAAGACAAGCCTGGACCACATTTTCGTTTGAACGCTGAAGGGGCGAACGCGCTCCAGAGACGGGGCCAGCTTCCCGGGCGCAGGCTCGCTGAGAGACGCATGCCCGGCTCGGCGAAAGGAGGCTTCTTCTCAATCAGATGCTCGACTGCAGTGGGAGGGCTCGCGTCGCGCCGCTGAGCCCCTTCGGCGCATGCCTCTCGCGCTGCGTGGCCCCCTCGGGGAGCCCCACCGCAGGGCCCCCCGTGGGAGGCCCCGCCGGGCGCCCCGGGACAGCCCCGGATCCCCGAGCCCCTCGGCCTCCGACGGCCGCCGAAGGAGGCGATCGCTGGGCACCCCTGGAGGGCGCCCTCGACGAGGCGCCGCTGCAGGAGAGCACCCCCTCCCGAGGCGAGCAACGTCTGAAAGCCCCCGCGGGAAGCTCGGCCCCCGATGCCCGGGCCCGCGGGGCCGCCGGAAAGCATCCCGAGCCAGGCTGCCCCGATGCGCAACACGCGACACGCGGCGTGCCGACACGGAGCTCAACGCGCAGGCTGAAAACGTAAGTCTGGCGCGACACGTTCGCCATAACGTGGACCAACGCGTGCCGAGCCGACGCGCAACGTGTTGACACGGACGCTTTGAGCACGGTGCGTGCTGCGTTTCAAAACGGGCGTATCCAGGCAGCTTAGCCCCTGTGAGAACCTCGATCCACGATCCTAGGGCCCGCGGGGCCGCTGGGAAGCATCCCGAGGCAAGGAAACAGGTGAGAACCGACGACAAAGCCCGAGAACCATTGCAAAACCTCGACCATCGATCCTGGAGGAGCGGACTGGCTGCACACACACACAAACTCTCGGATGTCCGCGCGGACTTCTTTGGTTCGGCCATGGATGCTCGGATCGCTGATGCACGGGAGGGGCTGGGACGTGCTTGGCATGTCGCGTGGAACCGCGGCGGGCCAGCGCTGATCCAAAAACTCCGCGTGGACCTCCGAGAATTGATGCTTATGTTGTTATTGTTCTTCGACGGCACCTGATGCCCCCGGTGCCTTCCCCAAGGGTCGTTCTTCGCCCCAGATTTTTTTTTGATGGCCGCGGGAGCTCTAAAACGGACCCCAGAGGCCGACATCGAGGCAACGCGGCCGCATTGAACGAAGAATATCGCGGGATATTTGTCGGCGTCTCCGAAGAGTGTAGTTTGCAAAGGGTGCGGTTTACGGTTTGCAGCCCGCACCTGGGAAGACGGGCGAAGACCTTGACAGAGATCTCTGCCGCGCCCCAGCGAGGGCTCATCAAACCTTTGGCGCAACGTGTCGAACCCCTACAGGGCCCAGCGGCGTCGATTGCAAACCACGACAGTACGCTGTAAGTGCACGCGATTCTTAGAAGATGTGAGTGTACAGTCTGTTGCTTATTTACTACTGCTTATTCAGTGCTGCATAGTTACCACGGTATATCTAATACTACTTATTCAGTAATGCTTAAGGAGATGCTTGTTGATCATTTGCTATTTCTACGGCCGGAGGTTTTCGGAGGTAAAGCGACTCTACCTCCGCCGGCGAAGGTTCAGTGTTGTGCATTTCCCCCGTGCTCATCTCAGTTCTTGGCACTCTCGTCTGTGAGTGTTTAAATAAGAGAATATGATCCTGCGGCGACTGCGCGGGCGTTGGGAGTGGGTGGCAAAAGGAGGCCGCTTCAATGGCGATCTTGGCACGGTCTGCGGAGGGTCAGAGAAATATGCTCGCGGGGTGGGGGGTCAGATTCGCATCGCCTCTGGGGTCCTCCTCTCCCACGCCGATCCTTCTCCAGCGCGCCAGTCCTCTTCGGGTCCTCCTCCCCAGGTAAGGAGGAGTCCCAGGGGGGGAGGGGAGTCAGATACGCATCCGTCCCTGGGGGTCCTCCTCCCCCTCCCATCTCCTCGCCCACGCTGGTCCTCCTCCGGTCCTCCTCCCCAGGGGGGAGTCCCAGGGGGGAGTCCTTTTCCTCCTTATCTCCTCCTACTCCTACTCCTGCTCCTCCTCCTCCTACTCCTCCTCCTTATCTCCGCCTCCTCTTCCTCCTTCTCCTCCTCCTCCCGCTATTGGTCGTTGTCGATATCTTTCGGGGTCGGCGGCACCGGCCGTCAGGCCTTCACAGTAAGAGACTATGATCCTGCGACGACTGCGCGGGCGTTGGGAGTGGGTGGCAGAAAGAGGCCGCCTCAATGGCGATCTTGGCCAGGTGGGGCGGAAGAGGGTAAATAAAAAATGCTTGGGGACCCGCTGCATCGCCCGGCCGTAGGGGCAGCCAGGAAACCCAGAGCAAACAAACATCAGGACGCACAGTGCGCATGGTAATACTGTACGTGTTCGCAATTCTGTTTTAGAATTTGCTTAAACATTATTGCTCGTGTAGTTTTGCTTTTTTCGCATTGCTTCATTTGTACGGCTCTTCTTCGACTGCATGTTTCGCATTGCGCGAGTGGACGGACAACCAACGGCAACAAGAAAAATAAGGCCCCCCCCCCCTGACGGATGCAACGTCGTTTTACCTCTGCTGCCTTCCGCCGACCTTCTGCCGCCTTCCGCAAATACCAAACAAACAGACGCAAAACTATGTACGCAAGTCTATATAGGCACTATCCACAAGAAAGCCACACTAAATGAGCAGTATAACCGAGACCATACTAAATAAGTCTACGCCCGCCGCGACAGTAATCTCGTTTTACATCCGAAGGGCCCAACGTTCGTGGGCGAGCCGAGGGGACAGGCGCGACCAGAACAACCGACGGACAACCGACGGCAACCAGGAAAGCAACCAACACACAACCACGGAAGGGTCACCCGAGAGTGCCCAGCGACCGAGGGCCAGCCGAGGGGCCAAGCGCGACAAGAGCAAAATCGACGGACATCCGACGGCAACCGAAAGACAACCAAAGACAGCCAGGGAAGGGGCATCCGCCAAAGAAGCAACTGCAGTACTAAATAAGCGCTGCCAGAGAAGCAATACTGAATAAACAATGCTGAGTGAACAAGGCAAAACAAAAACAAGGCCGCCCCCCAACAGCGGACACATCCTCGTTTTACTTCCGCCGCCTTCTGCCGATCTTCTGCCGCCTTCCGCCAAGGCAATATCAGCAACAGCAACACTAAATACGAAATGCTGGATAACCACTACAACATAAACAAAACCAGATAAACAAAAAGAGATCAGGGATGCCACCCGCTGGCAATGTCAACTCGTTTTGGCTCCGCCGTCTTCCGACCTTCTGCCGACTTCGGGAAAGACGCAGCAAGCTGAACCAGTACCAGGAAAGCACTTCCAAACAGGCAGTACTGAATCACTACTACCATCCTAGGCTACCCCCGCCAGCGGAGGTAGCGTCGTTTTGTTTCCGCCGCCTTCCGCCGACCCTCTGCCGCCTCCCCAGAACTACACACTAAGACACATGCCTACTAAACAAGCAATACTCAAGCAACAATACTAAACTCAGCAATGCTAAGGAAGCAACTCTCAACAAACGGTGCTAAATACGCAACGCTCGTCAAGCAATGCTAGATAAGGCTACCCCCGCCAGCAGATGTAGAGTTGCTTTACTTCCGCGGCCTTCCGGAAATACTAAAGAAATAAGCCATGCTGAACGCCGTCGCAGGGCTTGGCGACCATCTCCAGGTGGGTAAGCCATATTGAACAATCCACACTGCGCAAGCCCTAATAGACAAGCATTGCTAAATGCCATCGCAGGGCTGGGTGGGTAGGCTATACTGCATAAGCAATCTGGAACGAACCACGCGAAACGCACTGGGCGTTGTGTGTGTGTGTGTGTGTGTGTGCGCTGTACACCCGTGGCGTAACGCGCTCGCATTGTACACTTGCGCTTCTTGTGCTTTACACTTATGGCCTATCCTGGCAAGCCACACCCCGGCGCAACCATAACCACTTCGGCTACACGCAAGAGTGACCCTGGGTACGAGTGACCTTTGGTTCGCGGCTTTTTGGGGGCCGCGGGGGGTCCAACACACAAGCGCGGAATACGCCACTGCCGCCTCGCGTTCGGCGATCGCGCGGCCCCAGTGAGCCCGCACCAAAGGTCACTCCGGCGAAGGGTCACTCCTAAGTACAACCGACCGTTGCAATCGCCGCGCGTCGGTTGCGTCCAGCCCGGTCCCTGGCCCCGCCTCGGCGTGCTCGGCGCCGCCGGAGCCGGCGGCGGCCAGGAAGCCGCCGGGCACGGGCGGTCGGCCGTCCGCGTGGCCGCTGAGGCGGAGCAGCCCGCCCGGTTCAGGAAGCCACAGCGACGCGCGCGCGGCGGAGGCGTGGCAGTGCAGCCTGGGCGACGCCGACGACGACGGCGCGCTCACCCAAACACACCCCAAGCCATGACAAAATCACCACACATGAGTATCGTTTGACCGATCCCCATGCCCAGCGGCGTGGTCTGGGCCCCTCTGGCCGATTTAACCCCCCTAGATCGGGATGGAGGTCGTTCCCTTCGGGTTTCGATGGGTGTATCCCCAGCTGGGGTGGTAATTTGGTGGGGGTCTCGAAGGGAATGGGGATGGGGATGGGGATCGGTTAAACGACACCGAACAAAAGTGCGTCGCCGTCTTCGGCCTCTGAGGGTCCTCGCCAGGCCCCGGGACCGCCAGGCAGCGACTCGGGGCGAGAAGCCGGCCCCCGAGAGAGGGTCAGATGTCCTGGTCTACAACGGTCTCCAAGGTTGGGGAAGAGTCCGAGTGGCTTGGTCGAATACCTCGCCATCCATGGCGTCGATGGCAGCGTCGACAGCAGAATCGTCTGCACGATTCGGTGGCTGGATGGGTTTTTGCTTGAAGGTGGAGCTCGGTAGTGGTTTAGATCCTTTGGCCTTTCAAGTCGAGCGGAGAGTTGAGTACATGTAGAGCCCAACGTTCTCTGACAAGGAGAACCCGCTTCTCACGAGATTGGAGTCGTCGTGGTCGTGTAGAAACAGGAGCTGCCCATGGGGGCTCCGTATTGAATTACTTAGGACGCCGGATGTCTGGGGAAGACGACGATGGCGGCGACGGCGCGCTCACGCGTCAGCGAATGGAAAGGCCCTCCGCCCTCTGGGGGGCGCTTCCTGCGAAAGTGGCGTCCTTTGGCGAGCCCTGGCCCAAGGACAATCAAAAACGAATCCAAGACTTACCTGAACCGATACGCAACACGCAACACGTGGCTTGCTGACACGGAGCTCATCAACACGTAGACTGAACACGCAGGTCTGGCCCGACACGTTCGCCAACACGTGGACCAACACGTGTCAAGCCAACACGCATCGTGCTGACATGGACGCTTTGAGCACGGTGCGTGCTGCGTCTCAGCACGGGCGTGTCATGGCAGCTCCGGAACGAAGGACTGCCCCTGGGGAATGAGTTGGGAGCTCTGGGGCTACGCGTTGAAAAAATCCGATCGTCGGTCGGAAGAAGAAGGACAAAGCGTGAAGTAGGAAGGCGGGTAAACTAGATTGGGTTCAGGCACTCCCAGAGAATCACGTAGCGCAGCAAACACATGTCGGTTCTTGAGGGAGGCAGGCGCCTCAAGCAGACCTGGGATCTGGGAGTGCAAACACCTGCTTTCAACGACCGACGTGCCTCGTCGGATGTCTGGGCCTGGGGCTCGAGGTCTGGCTTCTCCGCCCCCCCGTGCCCTCTCTGCGTCTGCGCAGGGGCTCCTCGTCGCCTCGGCGGGCTTCGCCGCGAGGTGCGGGCCAGAGCGTGCCCACGGGGGGTCCAGGTGCTGATTTCTGACCCCCGACATGGGGACAGTGACATCTAAGCAGAAGCCAGGACGAGGATACAATCGGGTGAGGAGGAATCGAGAATCTCTGAGATCCGGCGGCTCTGGAGGATGTCTCGGGCGCCGCGGCCTTCTCAGAGCGTTCCGCTCTGGAATGGATTTATCCTCGTTCTAGCCCGCCCGAAAATCTGAGCATGGGATTCTCGTCTGTCCCGGGAGGTTTAGCAACCAGGGTGACCCTCACAAGAACTTGGAGGCCCCATCGGGTTCCAACGTGGCGCGAAAAGCGAGTCGGGGACGGCTCCGGAGGCGCCGCCCGCGCCGACCGAGAAAATCCGCGCGGACCTCTGACAGTTTACGGCGAGGAGCTTTTGTGTAGCGTGTCGCGGCGGCGGCTCCTGCGACCAGCGACGCGCTACAGTCGGGGCGTTGACCTAAGGAACCCTAAATAAGGAACGAGGCCCCTTTTTTCCACTAGTTAAACTTCGATTTCCGATCGAAAACACAAGGAAAACCTGAGGCAAGCTGTGAAACACTTAAGGAACACGGAGCCCCTCCCCAACGAAAAGGGTTCCTTCTTCAGGGCCCCGACTGTATGCCGTGCAAGCTGATAGCGTGTCGCTCTGCGTCGTGGGACGGGAGGCTGGGACACGCTGGTACGCGGGGAGGGCTGGGACGTGCTCGGCCTGTCGCGCGAAATCGTGGCGGGCCAGGACCGGCGTCGCGACACGCGGAGCAAACTCTTCGGACTGTGTGCTTTGCCGCCTCTTTCCAGGCATCCTCCGACATTCTGTTTAAAAAAGTTCGCATCCTCCCGAGAAGTCCCTGCCCCTTGCCCCGGGGTAGTATCCTCTTTTGACTGTCCCGGAGCCAGATGGCGGGCCACGCATGTCGACATCGAGTAGCAACCCTGGACTCAGCAACAAATGCCGTCGGAGATCTGGGTTGTTCTGCGATTTGGACGCTTGGATTGGGTATGGACGAACGGGCACGATGCCCAACAGGAGATATTCTCCAGCGCCACCAGCGGCCGCTGTTGGGCAGGCGCCCTCGCGTCTCAGATGGACAGCGTCTGCGGCGACACCCGCAGCGAGGGACAGCGTCCGCGCGACACTGACCGCAGGTCCTGCTCAAAGTGGGCAGGCGCTGCTGGTTGGCCTTCTTGCTTGTACTTTCTGTGCTCAAAGCCTGCTAAGTTCTAATTGATGAAATGGGGGGCGGGGCAGACGTGAAAGCGCGGCTTGGACGCGCCGCGCTCCCCCCCCTCCCCCAAGGCCCCCCCCGCGGACGCGCCACGGCCAACCACCCTCCGCATCCAAAGGGGGGGTGCGATTAGCAAAAGTATCAGAATACCCCCCCGTTTCTATCGTACCGCTTCGATGGCAGCTGCCACGCCTGAGGCCCGGGCCGCCCGAGGCGTCGCGGTCGGCGGCGTTCCAGGTGTGCACCGCGAGGAAGCAGCCCGCGCAGGCGCCTCGGCCCTGCAGGCCCCGCGGGGCGAACAGCCGCACGGCGGCGCCGTGCAAGCCCTGGGCCGCGGCGGCCAGGGAGGCGGTGAGGGGGCTCCCCAGCGGGCGCCAAGCGCCCCGGAAGAGCTCCGCGGCGGCCCAGAAGGCCTCGACGGGGCGGGGCGGACCGAAGCGCCGTCCCAGATCTCGAAAGCTCGGGGTGCTTCCTCGGCCTCGGCCTCGCGGGGGGCCCGCCATCTGGCCCCAGGGCCATCCAAAGTGCGAGCGGGAAGAACGTCTTCCCCCTGCGGGAGGCGGCCGTGCGCCCGCTTGCGGCGCCCCCTTTCTAGGCAGACGGAGTCCTGGCTCTTTACGACGAAGCCAGGACGAGGATAACATCGGGGGGGGGTGATACATCGAGAATCTCTGAGATCCGGCGGCTCTGGAGGATGTCTCGGGCGCCGCGGCCTTCTCAGAGCGTCTGAGAAATTTCCTGGAACGCCCTGGAACGGATCTATCCACGTCCCAATCCCGCCCGGCTCTTGCTGTTGAGCTCTCGCGACCACCTCACGGGGACCCGCCTGCCGCCCCGGATCGTGCGGATGCCCCCCAGGACCCTTTCGAGCCCGATCCTCGATCTCGCCCCCCCTCCTTTCGGCAGCGCGCCGCGGAGGAGGAAGAGGAAGAGGAGAAGGAGAAGGAGGAGGAGGAGGAGGAGGAGGAGGAGGAGGAGGAGGAGGAGGAGAGGAGGAGGAGGAGGAGCAGGAGGAGGAGCAGGAGGAGGAGCAGGAGGAGGAGGAGGAGGAGGAGGAGGAGGAAAGAGGAGGAGGAGGAGGAGGAGGAGGAGGTGGAGGAGGAGGAGGCAGGAGGAGGAGGAGGAGGGGAGGAGGAGGAGGAGGAGGAGGAGAGGAGGAGGAGGAGGTTGGAGCGTCTGGGGGGCCGCGTGTCACTTCCCACCTACGCCGCTGGGGGCGGGGCCACCTTCGGCGCTGATCACCGAGGGGCATTTCGACAGCTTGCAGTGCCGCATGAGCGAGCGAGGAGGGGAGGAGGAGGAGGAGGAGGAGGAGGAGGGAGGAGGAGGGGGGAGGAGGAGCAGGGCAGGAGCAGGAGCAGGAGGAGGAGGAGAGGAGGAGGAGGAGGAGGAGGAAAGGAGGAGGAGGAGAGGAGGAGGAGGAGGAGGAGGAGGAGGAGGAGGAGGAGGAGGAGGAGGAGGGAGGAGGAGGAGGAGGAGGAGGAGGAGGAGGAGGAGGAGGAGGAGGAGGAGGAGGAGGAGGAGGAGGAGAGGGAGGAGAAGGAGGAGGAGGAGGAGGCCTCCTCAGAGGACGGCAGGGCTTCTCACAAGCCCCGAGGCCTTCTGAGAGGCCTCCCGTGGCTTCGGAGAAGGCTCCGGAAGCCTCTCCCCTCACACCCGACGCTACGAACAACTTGCCACATCGCAGAACATCACGACCGGAGCCCCTGACCCCAACTTTCTGCGTCGTTTCTCGACCTGGGTCGATCTGTCAGGGCCCTGGGGCCCGGTTGACCGGGCGAGAACGCCCGCTGTGAAAGAACATGTGCAACGCCAAGATCTGACGGCCAGGGCCTTCTGAGGCGCCGGCGGGGCCGAGCCGCCCACCTGTCAAGCAGTGGCGAAGCGTCCTGGCTCCTCGTCCTCGTCCTCCTCGTCCTCGTCCTCCTCCTCCTCCTCCTCCTCCTTGGCACGCCGCCGACGCCTCCTCCTCGCTAAGTGCTGCTACGGGGGGCGCCTGCTTGCGGTGCCGCCGGTCGAGGGAGACGAGGCCCTTGCTGTTGAGCCCCCGGGGCCGGAGCGCCAGGTGCCGCCCGAAGGGGGACACGGCGGAGAGGCGCCCTCCCAGCAGCAGGCCGCGATGCTATGTGTGTGTGTGGGGGGAAAAAACAAAAACAACAACACACACTGTGGGGAAACAAAACACACAAAAACGCACACACACATGGAAATCAACAACACAAAAAACACACACTGTGTTGTGTTTGTGTTTTTTTTCCCCTCCCCATGGGAGGGGGGCTTGAGGATTCGAGGATTCGAAGGTGAACGTTTTCCTGTTCGGCCTCTCGACGTTGGGCGGAAGGGCGGGGGGAGCAGGAGGGGTCTGGCTCCAGACCTCTGCTCAATGCGACTGCTTGCAGCAGTGCGTCCCATGAGGGAGGCTCCGCCTGCTTGAAACAGGCGCCAAAAACAGTCAAGATCTACTCAATGGGGGGGCAGGATGGGGAGGTGCGAGGGCCCGCGCCGAGCGGCAGCACAATGAGGAAGAGAACGACGACAAGTCTTCGGACGTTTAGTTTTTTTTCGTGAACTACCTGGCGCGGAGACAACCAAAACCTGCATCTCCCTTTCCGGGCACATCCTGCTGTAGTGTCTGAGCGACAGGTCGTAGCCTGTGGCGACTGAGGGCTCCCTGGCGACTTCCCCTGGAGGTGCTCCACTGCTGTGCGTGCGACATGGCCGTGAGCAAGAGGCTCTGACAAGAAAGGAGCTGGGGAAGACAAAACCGGCGTCTCGCTCCAGACGTCCCCACAAACTGGCCGCGCACGGGCAAGAGAGTAAAACCGTCTGGCGGCTCCCTTCTGGGGTGCCCGAGTGCTACGCGCTGAAAGAATATCTCAACGTGTGTGGTCTGAGCTTGGTGAGTCCGTGTGTAGGTGAGTCTGAACGTGAGTGGGTCTGACTGTGAGTGTGCCTGAGCGTGCTTGAGTTTGAGTACGAATGAGTCTGAGTATGATGAGGGATCCTGAATGTCCGTAACTATGAATGCGTATGACCAGCTGAGTCTGCGTGGACTTGGATGCAAGTGTGGGAAGCAGGCGGGAACGGACGAGGAGGAGGGAAGAGTGCGTGGCGACGCCAGAAGGGCGAACTGGTCGAACCATCCCCACCAATCTGGGGGCCAACGGGCAAATGCCACCTGTGCCTGGCGGCTCCTCCTCGGGGTGCCCAGGTGCCACGCCTGCCATATCGCGGCGACCCGAGTGCCCTCCACAAGGAGGAACCTTACAGTGCCGTTTTTCTAATACATGGGATTTTTAAGAATATAGGATTTTAATAATGGTTACTTTATGAATGAATTTATGCGTGAACTCATCGTTGTTTAACATACTGAATCCCTGCATCTTTAATACATGATCCGCACGCGGAGCATGTATTAAAAACGGCACTGTACCAGTACAAACAACAACCGCCTGAATCATCGCCACAATAGGGGCGCGAACGGGCTGTTGTCCCCTCCCTGGCGGCTCCTCCTTGGGGTGTCCAAGTGCTACACCTGCCGTGCCGCGGTGATCGTGAAAGTCTCAGGAGAAATAACTCCGATCGGCCAAACGGACAAACCGCATGAGGCCTCGACAGAATGTGGGCGCGGACGGGCAAGTGTCCCCTCCCTGGCAGCTCTTCCTTGGGGTGCTCAAGTGCCACGGCTGCCACATCGCGGTGATCATGCGGCCATCAACAGACATGAATCCGATCGGCCAAACGGGCGCACCACCAGGAACATCCTCAAAATCTGGGCGCCAATGGGCAAGTGCCCCCGCCCCTGGCGGCTCCTCCTTGGGGTGCGCAAATGCAACTCACGCGAGGCTCTCAAGAGGGAGAGAGAGAGAGAGAGAGAACGGTCTGACCGGCAAAGTGGGCAAATCCCTTGAGACATCCATGAAGTCTGGGCGCGATCGGGAAACTGCCCCCGCCCTTGGCGGCTCCTTCTTGGGTACCTCAACGCTACGCCTGCAAGATCGCGGTGAACATGGGGCTCTCAAAGAGAAGCGTCTCAACCAGCAACCAGTCGAACCGCTCTCGTCCAACTGCGAGGGAGTCTGGGTGTCGACATGGGGGATTGGAGGATGTGGGAGGTGACGAGGAGGCGAATGTGCACAGAGTATGAGTGAGCCTGAGTGTGGCAGATCCGAGTGTGAGCGGTCTGTCGCGAGTGGACCTGCGTGTAGGTGGTCTGAGTATGAGTGAGTCGGGTATCATTGAATCTGAGTGTGAGTGAGTCTGAGTGTCAGTCTGAATCCGAATGAGCCTGAATACGAGTGGATCTGGGGCCCGAAAATTCTGAGAGAGAGGGAGCGGGAGGAACGGGAGGCGGAGGCATCACGCTAACAACAATGAGCACGAGCGACCCGATAAGGAACAGGCGGGAGTGCCGGAGTGCGGCGGAGGCACTGCGCCAGTAAAAAAGCTATACCTCCGGGTGCCCTCGCCAGGCCGTGGGCCCGTCAAGAAACGACTCCGGATGAGAAGCCGGCCCCAGGGAGAGGGTCGGGACTCCCCAGGGCCGCGCATTGAACAAAACTAAGGCATCGCATGCCCCGAGAGGAATCTCCCCAGGTATGACTTTGGAGGCCCCATGGTGGTCCCCGCGGAGGCCACGGGAGGCTGCCCGGAGGCCCAGGCAGGGCCACATAGGTTCAGACACAGCAGTGCCCACTGGTGTAAGAAGCCCCCCCCCCCGACTATCTTGGAAGGTGCGGGGCGTGCGGGTTCCGAGGGGCTGGGTTCCCTTCAAAGGAAGGCCCCCCGCCCTGCTAGCTCGATTTATGCGGCTGGGTGCAAGTCGATCGGAGAAGAATCAGAATCCTCAAGCCCTCAGGGGCACGCTCTGACCTTCTGAGAGGGCTCAAAAACATCGCACCAGTAACTTCGAACCCAAACTAAACTCCAATCGAGGCTGTCAGCAATCCTGATGCAATCAACATCTACAGTTAGGGTACGCCGTGAGGATGTAGGACCCTCTGAAGCCCAAGTTGAAGCATTTTGAGCAGCGCATGGCCGAACGCATCTGAGGGTGAAATGGCACGCCAAGGAAAGCTAATTATCGTTCCTATGGATTTTGATTGCAGGTCTGTGGGTCAGGAGGGCTAATCTTCAAGCGCTCTGGAGGGTAAGGGGAAGGCCCCCCCCATCGCCCAGGCCAGCTCGTGCTCTCGCTGCCGAGAGCGCCTCCCGATGGTGGCCTGGAAGCGCACGGCCATCTCCTCCACCCAGTCGGCGTCGGGCACGCCGGCCATGGGCGAGGCGCGGGGGTTGTCCTCGAGGAAAGGCGCCACGTCGACGCGCGAGTCGGTGAGCTGCCACAGCGCGATACCCGCGCAGCTGGTCGAGGCGGCGGCAACGATGGAGGCCCTGACGATGGCCGCCTGCGCGGCACCCCCGAAGGCAAGGGCAAGGGGCAGCAGCGACAAAACCTCCCGTTTCTTCTCGGGGCCCCCAAACCGTGTGGTGACGACCGCGTGGTGACTTCGGAATCGGAATCCCCAATGACCTCACCGCGCGGTCCGTCACCGCACGGTTTTTTCGGGACCCTGGATGCCCTGGTCGCCCAAGGATCATCCTTTGAGCACGACCCGAATCACAAGACCGCGCGGCGACCCCGAATCCCCTCTGACTCACCACGCGGTGTGGTCACCACACCGCTGGGCCCCCCCCCGATCATCTGCAGCGAACCTGTCCGGACGAGCTCAGCCGGGACGAACTCGCCTGGACGAGCCCGTCCGGACGACTCCCACCCGGACGAGCGCTCCTCCGAAAACCATCCTGCAGCAGCGGGCCCCGCATCCGGACAGGCAGAGAGCACGACGGGCGCCCCCCCTGGCCCGCCTCGATCCCCCGGGCCCTCGCGGCTCGGTCCCGGGCCCCGGACGCCCTGCTGCCCGAAGAAGCCCTCTTTGAGGCACACTGCGGGGCCCCCGACGCCTCCCGGCCCCTCGGGCGGGCCCTCCTCGCCCCGGGCTGTCCCTGACGCAGCGAGGGCGCCCCACTCGTGAAGAACTTGGCGCTCGATCGCGCCGCCCCCCCGGATGATGCTGAGGAATCGCCGAAAACCGCGAGGCGCGGCTAGCTTCGCGCCCTCGAGCGCACTCACATCCGACGTTGCGAGCAAAAATGGCAACGTCGCACAACATCGCGAGAGGAGCCCCTGACCCCATCCTTCTGCGTCGCTCTTCGAGCTGGATCCATCTGTGAGGGCCCCAGGGCCCGAAACCGGACGAGACCGCCCGCGACAAAACTGCACCGCCAAGATCTGAGGGGGGGCGCCCTCCCCTGAGATCCGACGTCGTGATCTTGTCAATACGGAATCCCCAGAAGTCTCGACCCATTCCCCAGGAGCGTTTTTTCCCCATATCCTAAGGATTGGGGTTCTTGTTATTACTCTGACGCCTCCCACTCCTCCTCCTCCTTCTTCCTCCCGCTCGCGCCTCCCTCCTCCCAATGATAATCACCAGATAAGACAAGACAAGATAAGATACTACAATATAAGATAATATAGCACAAGATATGATAAGAAGAGATTACAAGATAAGATAAGATAAGATAAGTTAAGCTCACACTCACACTCTCTCATGATCACAAAACGCTGCCAGGGGCATCATTTGGGAGCCCCAAGGGGGAGCCACCCTGGCTGATCTCACGAGCCCGTTCGCGCCGATTTTGGTGGGACGTCTCAGCTAGAATTGCCGTTTGGCGCCCCGAACATGTATCTCTTGAGGGGCTCATGGTCACAAAACGCTGCCAGGGGCATCATTTGGGAGCCCCAAGGGGGAGCCACCCTGGCTGATCTCACGAGCCCGTTCGCGCCGATTTTGGTGGGACGTCTCAGCTAGAATTGCCGTTTGGCGCCCCCAACATGTATCTCTTGAGAGCCTCATGGTCACAAAACGCTGCCAGGGGCATCATTTGGGAGCCCCAAGGGGGAGCCACCCTGGCTGATCTCACGAGCCCGTTCGCGCCGATTTTGGTGGGACGTCTCAGCTAGAATTGCCGTTTGGCGCCCCCAACATGTATCTCTTGAGAGCCTCATGGTCACAAAACGCTGCCAGGGGCATCATTTGGGAGCCCCAAGGGGGAGCCACCCTGGCTGATCTCACGAGCCCGTTCGCGCCGATTTTGGTGGGACGTCTCAGCTAGAATTGCCGTTTGGCGCCCCCAACATGTATCTCTTGAGAGCCTCATGGTCACAAAACGCTGCCAGGGGCATCATTTGGGAGCCCCAAGGGGGAGCCACCCTGGCTGATCTCACGAGCCCGTTCGCGCCGATTTTGGTGGGACGTCTCAGCTAGAATTGCCGTTTGGCGCCCCAACATGTATCTCTTGAGAGCCTCATGGTCACAAAACGCTGCCAGGGGCATCATTTGGGAGCCCCAAGGGGGAGCCACCCTGGCTGATCTCACGAGCCCGTTCGCGCCGATTTTGGTGGGACGTCTCAGCTAGAATTGCCGTTTGGCGCCCCCAACATGTATCTCTTGAGAGCCTCATGGTCACAAAACGCTGCCAGGGGCATCATTTGGGAGCCCCAAGGGGGAGCCACCCTGGCTGATCTCACGAGCCCGTTCGCGCCGATTTTGGTGGGACGTCTCAGCTAGAATTGCCGTTTGGCGCCCCCAACATGTATCTCTTGAGAGCCTCATGGTCACAAAACGCTGCCAGGGGCATCATTTGGGAGCCCCAAGGGGGAGCCACCCTGGCTGATCTCACGAGCCCGTGACGAGAGAGAGAGAGAGAGAGAGCAAGAGAGAGAGAGAGAGGAAGCGAGAGAGAGAGAGAGAGAGAGAGAGAGAGAGAGAGAGAGAGAGAGAGAGGGGGAGTTGAGAGAGGAGACAGGCGAGAGAAAGAGAGAAGAGAGAAGAGAGAGAGAGAGAGAGAGAGAGAGAGAGAGAAGAGAGAGAGAGAGATAGAGATAGAGAGAGAGAGAGAGAGAGAGAGAGAGAGAGAGAGAGAGAGAAAGTGGAGAGAGAGGGGGGGGGAGAGAGAGAGAGAGAGAGAGAGAGAGAGAGAGAGAGAGAGAGAGAGAGAGAGAGAGAGAGAGAGAGAGAGAGAGAGCGAGAGAGAGAGAGAGAGAGAGAGCAGAGAGAGAGAGAGAGAGAGAGCGGGAGAGAGCGAGGGAGAGCGAGAGAGAGCGAGAGAGAGAGCGAGTGAGAGCGATATATATTATATATAGAGAGAGAGAGAGAGAGAGAGAGAGAGAGAGAGAGAGAGAGAGAGAGAGAGAGAGCGAGAGAGCAGAGAGCGAGAGAGAGCGAGAGAGAGAGAGAGAGAGAGAGAGAGAGAGAGAGAGAGAGAGAGAGAGAGAGAGAGAGAGAGAGAGAGAGATAGAGAGAGAGAGAAGAGAAGAGAAGAAGAGAAGAGAGAGAGCGAGAGAGAGAGAGAGAGGGAGAGTGAGAGAGAGAGGAGAGAGCAGAGAGAGAATAGAGAGAAGAGAGAGAGAGAGAGAGAGAGAGAGAGAGGCAGAGATAGAGGCAGAGAGAGAGAGGCACAGAGAGAGAGGCAGAGAGAGAGAGAGAGGCAGAGAGACAGAGGCAGAGAGAGAGGCAGAGAGAGAGAGAGGCAGGGAAAGAGAGGCAGAGACAGAGAGAGGGCAGAGAGAGAGAGAGAGACAGAGAGAGCAGAGAGAGCAGAGAGAGAGGCAGCTCAGTCACACTTAAATCCAGATTCGTCCTCACCGAGTCCCACCACCAAGGGAGCGCCAGCAAGGAGATGCACATATGGGGATCCCCACGCAGTGAATAATTCATCCTGGGTCGTTTTTTGACGGTCCCGAGGCCCGGCGAGGGCCCCCCCGAGGCCGAAAATAGAGAAAAACTTCCCGTGGTTTTCTCACTGCCCGAGGGGGTCTGGGTCTCTGATGCCCCGTCGGAGCCCGAAGCGGGAGGCCTCCAAGGTGGCGGGAAGCGCCGGCCGCCGGGAGGCCCTGCCGAGAGCCGCCGCAGGAGGCCCTCGAGCGGCGGCGGGCGCCCTCCTCTCGGAAGCCGCCCCCGGTCCTGGGAGGCGACCTGCAGGCACAGGATGGGGCCGCGGGCTCTGGCTCTGGCTCTGGCTCTGGCTCTGGCTCTGGCTCTGGCTCCTCCTCCTCCTCCTCCACCTCCTCCTTCTCCTGCTCCTGCTCCTGCTCCTCCTCCTCCTCCTCCTCCTCCTCCTCTATCCTCCTCTATCCTCCTTTATCCTCCTCCTCCTCTATCCTCCTCCTCCTCCTCCTCCTCCTCCTTCCTCCTCCTCCTCCTGCTCCTGCTCCTCCTCCTCCTCCTCCTCCTCCTCCTCCTCCTCCTCCTCCTCCCTCTATCCTCCTCACATAATCGCCGCCCTCCTCAGATAAGGAGTCTTCCAGGGTCTGACGCCTCCTGGGCGCAGTCCTTAACGAGCGCCCCCACGGTATCCAAAGCGCGCGGGGCGTGCTGCAGTGCAGGGGATGGGGTGTGGGAAGAGGCCGGGGGGGGTCCAGCCGCGACCCAGGACATCTACGCGGACGTCCGAAGAGTCTATGCTTGCGCACTTCTGCTGGTTCCTCGAGCTCTGTCGGAGGGCAAGAAAATTTATCGGTGCATACGCCCTTCTGGTTTAACCAGGAAAGCACATATACACCGACCCTGGTCTTGGGATCGGCCTGGCCAGGATCGGTGTAGGTGTATAGCTAGCGCCCTACGGCTGTGAGTCATCGTCCCGTCCCGTTCCATCCCTCGCTCGGCTCTGCAGACTTTCAGGTCTTCGGTCTCTTCAACAAAGGCAAGTGTCTTCTTCTAAGAAACACCCCCCCACTTCTAAGAATCTTTCTTCAAGCCCCGAGGCCCTTCCAAGGCCTTTGCCTTCTAAAACCATCCCTGTTGGAAGGCCGCCCCCCTCGCGTCACCCTAGAAGCCTCCCCAATTGGGTCCGCGTAGATGGTGTCGGACGATCGCGCCGCATCGCCGATGCATCGGCAGCCTCGGCGCAGATCGGCGACGTCGACGCGGAGAAAGTTGGGCTTTTTATCGACCTGCATCGCCGATGCCTCGGCGATGCCGCGCGATCGTCCGACCCCATCTATTCTGGCTTCATTTGAGCGGCGAAAACAAAGGGGCCAGTCGCCGGATGTCATAGCGACCTTGCGCGGTGGCTCACGCGGGCCACCAGCGTGGCACACTGCGTGCGCGACCTCAACGCATGCAGCCTGCGCGCAAATGACCGCGCAATCAGCCCAACTTCTTTCCGTCGCTCATCTGGGAGGCCTTAAGCCCGGCCCAATTTGGACGCCCGGAATGGGTACGGGAAACATGGATACGATGTCCAACGAAAAATGTTCTCCAACACCGACAACGGCCGCTGTTGGGCAGGCGGCCTCCCGTCTCAAGTGGGCAAAGTCCGCAGCGGCGCGGACAGCGAGTCTGGTTCAGAGTGAGCAGGAACCGCTTTTTGGGCATCGTACCCGTTCCTTCCGTACCAATTCTGTTTTTGCTGGTCCAGACCTGCAGGTCTTCGGACCACATGTCCTGCGCCCGGCTCCTGAAGTTGGCGAGGCCATCGCCGCCCACCTCGCTCACCACCACGGGCTTCCCACCGTGGTGCAGGCGGGCCCAGTCCACGTACTGCCTCCACACGGAGGGTATCTCCTCCACCGAGGCGTCGTACCAGCCAGGGTAGTCGTTGAAGCTGATGACGTCGGCAAGGTCCAGCGTCAAGTCGCTCATCTTGCACTTAGACGCCCATGTGACGAGGCGGGTGGGGTCCAAATCTTTGGCCATGTCCCGCAGCGCCTGGTACGCCAGCCGGGCCTCGGGCACGTCCGCCTCTCCTTCGTTGAGGAAGCCCCAGAAGATCACTGACGGATGGTTTACCGAGGCGTTGATCATCTCCTCCAGCGAGTCCATCTGCTGCCCCACGAAGAGAGGGTCCTGCAGGTGGTGCGCCTTGGGTTGCCACCCGAGCGACTCCTCCCAGACCAGGATGCCAGCCTCGTCGCACAGGTCGAGCCACCGCTGATCCTGCGCGTAGTGGCTACCGCGCACGAAGTTCGCCCCGAGCTCCCGCAGCAGGGCCAAGTCGCCTTGCAGCTGTTCTTCTGGGAGGAAGATCCCGCCCTTCCAGGGGTGCCACTCGTGCCGATTCACCCCACGGAGCTCCACGACCTCCCCATTCAGCCACACCCGGCCCTCCCTCGCCTCTATGGTGCGGAGGCCGAAGCGAACAGTGACCCTGTCAAGCTCCACGAATTGCCGCCGAAGGCTGACTGTCAAGGTGTGCAGCGCCGGGGACCCTGGCGACCACGGCCTCGGGTCCGGCACCCTCGCAGACCAGACCTCCTTTGTTAGTTGACCGAAATGGGTACGGGAAAATGGATACGATGCCCCATAGCACATGTTGTCCAGAACCAGCAGCGGCCGCTGTTGGGCAGGCGGACCTCTGTGTCAAATGGGCGACGCCCGTGCTGACACCGACAGCGAGCCCGGTTCGACATGAAGAGGAACTGCTGTCGGTCGTCGTGCCAAGTCTGCCCTTTCTGCACAGTGGGAGCTCGACCACAAGAAACCTTCCACAAGAAACCCAACCCTGAGACCCCAAGACGTCCATGGAATTTTGGTGTGGGAGCGCCACGCTCTCCACAGCAAAACCATCGACACCCAAGAAACCCAGGGCACCCTGGAGGCAAGCAGGGTGTTTCTTGACATGGGTTTCCACTGCAGCCTCTGGGGCTTGTTTCTAAAGGTTTCCTACATGGGGTCGGAGTGGATGGGTGGATGATCGCGCCGCATCGCCGGTGCATCGGTGCTGCATCGGGGATGCACGGGCGATGCGTCGCCGACGTCGGCGATGCATCGGCAACGTCGACGTGCAGCAATTCGGGCGCCACATCGAGCCGCGTCGGTGGTGCATCGGCGATGCTGTGCGATCCTCCGGCCCCATCTGCTCCGACCCCCTCTCGGAGGCCTATGGAGTTTCTGGGACCCCCCCCAGCCCGCCAGAAGACGGGCCCGCGGGATCCGGGCATGTGGGTCCGGGACATGCTGCTCACAGCGCGTCGAGGCGGCGGGCCCGCCAACACGCTGTGCCCTTCGGGCGGGCGGCGCGCGCCGCTTCTCTCCGCGCGTGCTCCCTGGCACGGGGCCTCCCCTGTGCCCACTTCGACCGTGCCGATCCTCCAGGCCGTCGCCGCCCACGGCCCGCTCAGGGCCGTCGACGGCGCCCCCCGCGGTGTCGAACGCGGCCGCTGCGGTGAGCCCCTGGCCCGCGCACCCGGCGGACAACCGGAGGCGCACCGTCACCCGCCCGAGCGGGCGCTGCGGGAGCACGTCGAGGGCGGCCACGTAGGCCTCCATTCGAGTAGGGGGTCGACTACGGGTTAGGTTTACCCCCAAAATTGATTTCCTCGCCGAGCGTGCGAAGAATTCGTAGTCTGCTCGTAGATCACTCCACGTCTGTTTCGTAGATTCGGCGAGCGAATCAAGTTTGGGGTGAACCAATTCTGTAGTCGATCCCCTTCTCGACCTATAGAGGCCTCGTAGATGGGGTCAGGGTCGACGGCGTCGGGGGATCGCGCCGCGTCGCCGACGTATCGCGCCGATGCCTCGGGCGACGTCGGCGGTGCATCGGCGACACCGGCGTGGAGAAAACAAATCTTCACATCCAGGGGTAGACCCAAACAGCGGTTTTCGTTTTCGGTCTGTCTTTGTTTCCCTCGTTGTGTGCTGCAGAACGAGATCGAAACGAACACGGCCCACGAAGTCGACAAACATCAGCTTAAGCCGACCCCTGCCCACATCCAGCCCCATCGGCGATGCACCAGTGATGCGGGCGCGAGCCTCCGGCCCCATCTATGTAGTCGTCCGTTTCTGATTGTGCTCGTTCTGATCGTGCTCGTTTCTCATCGCTCCTGGGCCCCTGGTGGCCAGGGAGAGGCCCAGGATAGAGCAATTGGACATGAAAGGAGCTTGACCCCCGAGCGGACCAAAGACCTCTTGAAGGACTAGACATGAACAGTGTGTAGTCGGACCCCATCGGAGCCTCGCGGTCGCGCAGGACGTGGCCCTCCACCGGGCGCAGCAGTCCTCGACGGGGGGTCCCCTAAAGATCCTGCTCGCTGCGAAGAATAAAGGGGCCCTGGGACACACAAATACATAGACACAAATTGCAGGATTCCCATTTTTTTTTTTTTGTTTTGAATTTCGTCTTCCCCCCACTTCCTATATTTTCGCATATTTTCCTGGGAGTCGACGATGAATTGTGTTTGTGTGCCTTTTCCCCTCCTGGCAGGAATCATGGCGGGCGGTTTTTGCCTCCTTTCGGCTTCGGCCTCCAGGGGCCCTCGCCGGGCCCTGGGGCCGTCAAACAAAAAAAAACGGCTCGGGCTGAGAAGCCCGTCCCTGGGAAAGGGCCCGCAGACCTCCGAGGGTCCGGGCTGAGAAAAGTATCCGAGCGAAGGGCCCAGCCATATTCAGCTGTCAGTGCCGCGTTGTGGGTACCGCTGCCGATGGCGCTCCTTGGAGGAGGCCACGAGACACGTCAGGAATGTGCCGTCATGGGTGGGGGAGACGCGTGCGGCCGCCGTCACTGGGATCTTCGGCGGAGTTCCCAGTGGGGCCACGAAGCGCAATGCTGGGCGGTAGAAAAGCATGCGAACGTCGCCTCTAGGGCTTCCAGTGGAGCTCCAGATGGGCCACGAAACGCTGTGCTAAAGGGAAGACATGCGAGCGTCGCGAAGCCTTCGGTGGAGTCCCCTGGGCCTTCGGTAGGCCTTCGGTGGGCCACGACACGTTGTACCGGGTGAGGGAAATGCTTGCGAATACCGTCGCTGGGGCCTTCGGTGGAGCTTCCTAGGGGGTGACGAAACGGCATACTGGGCGAAGGAAGCGCATGCGAACGTCGCCTCTGGGGCCTTCGGTGGAGCTCCTTATGGGGCCACGAAGCGTGTGAATGGGGTGCCGAAATGGGTGGCGGGGACGCATGCGAACACCGCCACTGGGGCCTTCGGTGGAGCTCTCTATGAGGCCACGAAGCGTGTGCGGGGTGCGCCGACATGGATGGCGGGGACGCAGTCCACGAACACATCGAAGGGGGCCATCGCCACAACCCGCAGCATAGAGATAGCATAAATCTCAACATCACGAGCCGTTTGCTTTGGACAACTCGACCGAGGGACAGGGCCGAAGGCCGCCGACTCCAGGTTCCCGAACCTATCCACCTGGATGACCGCCCAAGCTGCTTGTGCTAGGTACGGAACGTCGGCCCACATCGCCGAGCCGTCCGTGAAGAGGGTGCCTGTTAGCAGCCCCAACGCAAGACGTTGGTACCAAATTAGCAAGGCGAAGGGCCCAACCATATGCAGTTGTGAATGCCGCAATTGTGCTGGGTGGTGGCGGACGCATGCGGGCGGTGCCACTGGGACCTTCGGTGGAGCTCCCTATGGGGCCACGAAATGCTGTACTGAGTGGGTGAGACGCGGTCAGCAAGGGCTGTGCTGCGTGGTGGCGGACGCATGCGAGCGGTGCCACTGGGACCTTCGGTGGAGCTCCCTATGGGGCCACGAAGCGCTGTACTGGGTGGGTGAAACGCAGGCAGGGAGCAAGGGCTGTGCAGGGTGGTGGCGGACGCATGCGGGCGGTGCCGCTGGGACCTTTGGTGGAGCTCCCTATAGGGCTACGAAGCGCTGTTCTGGGTGGGTGAAGCGCAGGGAACAAGGGCTGTGCTGGGTGGTGGCGGACGCAAGCGGGCAGTGCCACTGGGACCTTTGGTGGAGCCCCCTATGGGGCCACGAAACGTGCGAGGGGTGTGCCAGAATGGGGTGTGGAACCGCATGCCAGCGCAGCCACTGGGGCCTTCGGTGGAGCTCCCTATGGAGCCACGAAACGTGTGAGGGGTGTGCCGAAATGGGGGGTGGAACCGCATGCGAGCGCAGCCACTGCGGCGTTCGGTGGAGCTCCCTATGGGGCCACGAGACGTGTGAAGGGCGTGCCGAAAAAAAAGGGGGTGGAACCGCATGCGAGCGCAGCCACTGGGGCCTTCGGTGGAGCTCTCTATGGGGCCACGAACCGTGTGAGGGGTGTGCCGAAATGGGGAGGGGGGGAACCACATGCGAGCGCAGCCACTGGGGCGTTCGGTGGAGCTCCCCATGGAGCCACCCACGAAGCGTGTGAGGGGTGTGCCGAAATGGGGGGTGGAACCGCATGCGAGCGCAGCCACTGGAGCGTTCGGTGGAGCTCCCTATGGGGCCACGAAACGTGTGAGGGGTGTGCCAGAATGGGGGGTGGAACCGCATGCGGGCGCAGCCACTGGGGCCTTCGGTGGAGCTCCCTATGGGGCCACGAAACGTGTGAGGGGTGTGCCAGAATGGGGGGTGGAACCGCATGCGGGCGCAGCCACTGGGGCCTTCGGTGGAGCTCCCTATGGGGCCACGAAGCGTGTGAGGGGTGTGCCAGAATGGGGGGTGGAACCGCATGCGGGCGCAGCCACTGGGGCCTTCGGTGGAGCTCCCTATGGGGCCACGAAACGTGTGAGGGGTGTGCCAGAATGGGGGTGGAACCGCATGCGGGCGCAGCCACTGGGGCCTTCGGTGGAGCTCCCTATGGGGCCACGAAACGTGTGAGGGGTGTGCCAGAATGGGGGGTGGAACCGCATGCGGGCGCAGCCACTGGGGCCTTCGGTGGAGCTCCCTATGGGGCCACGAAACGTGTGAGGGGTGTGCCAGAATGGGGGGTGGAACCGCATGCGGGCGCAGCCACTGGGGCCTTCGGTGGAGCTCCCTATGGGGCCACGAACGTGTGAGGGGTGTGCCAGAATGGGGGGTGGAACCGCATGCGGGCGCAGCCACTGGGGCCTTCGGTGGAGCTCCCTATGGGGCCACGAAACGTGTGAGGGGTGTGCCAGAATGGGGGGTGGAACCGCATGCGGGCGCAGCCACTGGGGCCTTCGGTGGAGCTCCCTATGGGGCCACGAAACGTGTGAGGGGTGTGCCACGAAGGGTGTGGTGGAACCGCATGCGGGCGCAGCCACTGGGGCCTTCGGTGGAGCTCCCTATGGGGCCACGAAACGTGTGAGGGGTGTGCCAGAATGGGGGGTGGAACCGCATGCGGGCGCAGCCACTGGGGCCTTCGGTGGAGCTCCCTATGGGGCCACGAAACGTGTGAGAGGTGTGCCAGAATGGGTGTGGGAGGGGGAGGAGGGGGGAGGAAGGGGAGGAGGAGGAAGGAGGAGGAGGAAGGAACGCGGGGCGACGTCTCTGCAAAACGAGGACCCAACACCACAGGATGGTTGGGAAAAATCTGGTTGTCGTCGCTCGTCTGCACAGGGAAAACCAACTCTGGTGACGAGACAAGCCCACGTGCGAATCGCTCCGCCATGTCCTCCCCCCACTCCTTGACCCTCTTAGCCCTCGTGAGGTGGAACGCAGACACTTCCTCCCCACACCTAGTTCATGACGCGTACATTGGAACGCACGATGCCGCACCGAACCGTCTTCTGCACCACAGGCCGTACTCCACACGCCCATGCCGAAACAATCTTTCTTGGGTCTGGTGTCCTCCAGAAATTCGCCGGCCCAACGGGCCAGAGGCGTGCTGAGATCTCTGGTAACTGGTGAACAATATTGCTAGCTCGCGCGCGCGGGGCGGCCCCTGGGGGCACCTGGACGAAAAGTACCCCCGCCAGGTCCTGGCCCGCTCCAGGAGCGCACTAACAGGGCTCCAAGACGTCCCCGGGACAATCCAAGAGGGCCTCCGGTCGCCGAAAGATGGCCCCTTGTCGGTCACGGTGGCCTCCAGATGGCCGTAGAAGCCGCCAAGAAGCCCCAAGAGTGCCTCAAGAGGCCCCCCAAGAAGACCCCCAGAAGCAACATTTGTCCAATTCTCTCTGGTAAGCGTATTTTCTTCGCATATGCAACTTTTCAGGCTTCACAGCGTCCAACACTGCCCACGAGGCCACCAATATTGCCCCAAAATGGCCGAATAGGGCCCCAAAATGGGCCCAAGACGGCCCAAGAGCGCCCCAAGACGGCCCAAGATGGCCACAAGACGGCCCAAGAGGCGCCCAAAACGGCCCAAACGGGTTCCAAGAGCGCCGCAAGACGGCCGAAGAGAGACCCAAGACAGCCTAAGATGGCCCCAACACAGCCCAAGAGGCACCCAAGACGGCCCCAAGAGGGCCCAAGAGAGCCCCAAGACGGCCCAAGATGGCCCCAAGAAGGCCCAAGAAGCCCCTCCAGGAAGCTCCCGAGACTCCTGTCAAGAGACTCGAACGACGCCGGATTCACAACGAGCCCTCAGGCAAACGGAAGAGATGCGACAATATGGGCTGGCGGAATGAGCGAAGCGATTAAATAAGTGATCGACGAGTCATCTGAATACGTTTAGTCCAACCTGCCGCCGTGCGATTTAGGAGGCTGCTCAAACCCGCCCCAAACACAGGTAAGTACCACCATCCTTTTTGTTCCCGACCAAGGAGATCTTGTCTGTCTGGCGCACGCCTGGCACCTGCATAGGCTAGCTGCTGCACAAGAACGCGAGGAAACACTCCAACCTCCAGCACTTCTTGTCTGTCCGTCTCCAGGCTCGTGCTTGACCGAATTTGCCAGCCTATCCTGCGTAGGCTGAGCACTGCACCATCTGCTGGGGAAGCCGCTCCTCTCCCAGGGGCCTTCATGGAGTCCATCTTGCTCATGGCGCCCTCCAGGCACCCATCCAGAACCGCCGGTTTCGGAAAACATTCCCAGATAGCCGCAGCTCATTGGTGCACCACCCTGCCGATGATCAGGATGAGGGGGTCCACTCGAGGCCCGTCCTTGAAGCTGTGGAGCCTGAAGCCTGCCGAGACTCCTCGGGGGACCCTCCCAAGACTGCCCAGGGCCCAAAGACGGAGGTGGTGCATGGCGCTGGGAGGAATGCCCTAAGACTGGACCCCCAGAGGGCCGAGGCCGTAGAGCTCCCACGTTGGATCCAACTCGTCTTGACCCCAACAGCCCGTAACTTCATGACCCGACTGGTACGGACTTTGGTATCATCCCACCTGGCCCGCGTGATGCCGCTACGACGCATGATGTCCATTGTAGCATCCGTCCCTAAGTTACTGGCGTGGTGAACCCTGGAATCTGCAGGCAACGTCCACAAGGGCTGCAGCGCGGCATTCATTTCAGGAGGAGGAGGAAGAGGAGGAGGAGGAGGAGGAGGAGGAGGAGGAGGAGGAGGAGGAGGAGGGACGCGGGGCGCTGTCTCGTCAAACCGAAGACCCAACACCACAGGACGGCTGGGAAAAACACGACGTCGGACATCTGGGACTTGCCGAAACGTCGCCCTGAGATCGACGATACGCTGCTGGCAGGTCCGCGGCAGGCCGGTCCTCGATCGCGTAGGTTCCTGGGCAGACTGGGGACCTCAAGCCTCAACAATCGGCGACGAGTGGGCGATTGGGGTTCGATGCTCAATCCCGGTTCCCCTTCGCCGCCCCGGAGTCCTCCCGGCTGGTACCAGTCGAAGTAGGCTTGGTGCACGGGCCACGCGGGGCTGAAGCGGTTGTCCTCGGCTGCACGCGCAAGTGACCCTGGGCAGGAGTGACCCGATGCGCGGCTTGCGGGGGCCACTGCGGGGCCAGATCCAAGCACGCAAACTGGTGCTGGGGGGCACTTTTTGGGGGCCCCTCTAGGCCCGCACCACAGGTCATTCTGGCGAAAGGTCACCCTTACGTGTAGGTCGGGCATGTCCTCCTACAGGCGGATTTTGGACGAAAAATCAGCCGATCTGGCGTGTGAGTTTCTGAGAGCGTGGGCTTGAGCTCGCTCAAGCCTCGTCGCTCTGCGGGGGGGGGACCTCATTTCCGACCTAATTCCGACCTAATTCAGTGCTTCGCCCCCCACCCCCCCCCCCCACCCCCCCCCCCCCCCCCCTCCCAGAGCGGAACCCCCCATCCCCTGCAGAACGCCCCCTCCCGCTTCCTGCAGCCCACCCAGCCCCCCCCCCCTCCCCCTGCAGAGAGGACCTCGCCCCTGTAGCCCCCCCGCCCCGCTGCAGAGCGAACCCCCCTCCCCCGGCACCACCACCCCTGCAGAGCACCCCCCCCCTTGCAGAGCGGACCTCCTCCCTGCAGCCCCCCCCCCTGCAGAGCGGATCCCCCTCTCCTCCCCTGTCCCCCCCCCTGCAGAGCAGACCCGCCCTCCTGCGCCATCCTCCTCC